CGGCAAATAAATTGAATTAAAGTGAAATCAGTTGCCCTTGGCTGTAATAAATTAATGAAAAGGCGGCAGGCGACACAATAAACCAACCGAAATGAAGACAAGCCACAAAATATAATCAAAGAAATCAGCATAAATCAATGAACAAAATACAAGTACACGTTTACTATAAGAAGCTTTTGGCTGTGGTTCTGCTACAGTTTCAGTTGCATTATATCTGAACTGTTTGAAGTTGAAGACATTATACAACCAGTTGCCCAACAGTCATTAAAAGTAGCTTTAGTAGCTTAAGAGTTTATGACATAAACTTGTGTTTAATTAAACTCAAGAGCTGCGCTCTCCCAAACAAAGCCAAAGTATAGAATAGCCGAAGAGAAACTTATTTATTTTGGTCATTCACAAACAAATTTGCAACTTATTCAGTTTGGGTTTACTCACAATTAGAGTATGTCAAGTTGAGCGGCATGTTGCCAAAGGGTTCGGTGTCCTTGGCTTGTTACAAACTCATGAATTGCTGAATGTGTGGCAACAATTTGGGGCAAGAATAAATAGGGTAATGTCGACCGACATTTATACTTAGTCAAAATAGCCCTTGTGAACAAATAGCAGAAGAGAAAAGTGACAAATTGACTTTAATTAGTTGTAGAATGGGGCGTTTTTCTTATGCTAAAGTTTATTTTCTTATTTTTAATTGAAACCAGTCGAGCTTAGTGAGACTTTACATATGATGCTTACAAAGTGAATGTGGACAAACAACTCCGTTAAAGATTTAATTTCAACACGCTTAAAAAATGCGCGAGCTTTTACTGCTCTTTGCTCACAAGTGCAATTAGAGAAAAATGCGTGTTCAATTATCCAAAGAATCCATAAGCATTGCTGCAAAACAATTTTCTAGCAAACGTGTTGGAAATTGAAGAGCCAAATTAATTTTTACTGTGAACCAAACGACAAAGCAGTTATCCGAAGAACAACGACGTAACCCGAACGAACTTTAATTGAATTATTGTTTTAAATTGCCAATATAAAGTAGAGATTTAATTGTATCAATTAATTGCTTCTATTGCAGTGATATTCAGGATTTTAAATTTAACGAGCAATTGTATTCTATTGAATTATTTAATACAATATTTTAAAATATATTTCAAGTCTTCATCAAAACTTCAGTCAAGGATGTGGAAAGGCAGTTTCACAGAACTCTTAAGCGAGGAAATTGGTTTTTGTTTAGGAGACCTGATTAAAAAAGCAAATTTGAATATCATGGGTTGAAAACTTGCACACCTATAAAATGGAAAACATAAAGCTGTTTCGAATGCAAAAAGAGTTCCATTTTTGAAACTCCATAAGCTGCTTTTTATGGCATTTGCCGTGTATGTAGAAAATGTAAGCACATTTTCCACTTAAGTATGAAACGTGCCATTAACTTGACAAGCTTCAGCTTGGCCCTAAAAGTAGTAGAGTAGGTTCCAGTGCCACTCAACGACATATTTTGCTTTATTTATGCAAGTGAAAAACCTGAAAAGAAAATCAGCCCTCGTATTTGGACTTTAATGCATTGCAATAACTTTAAGCTTAAGCGGGCTGCTGGCAAATCACAAAACGTTTTTGAAATTATGCACAAATCTGTTTTATGGCCTCGCCGTCAAGTCAACTCCTTGGGGCAACTTGAGGACGCAGCAGCTGCAAATGCCTCGCAGGGCACCTGTCATAAAGTAAAATTTAGCCAATTTATTTATGGGCCAGGATAAGGAAAACGCGTTTAGCACATTTCCAGTCACATGCAAGGCATTCATCAGCACTCATAGCCCCAAATAAGCGACATCAAATGATGATAAATACAAATTTAATGGGCAGGCTGCAGGCCCCAATTCACAAGGCCGACTTATACGTGTATTTGGCAAATTATTCAATTTAATTTCATTTTGCAATTGTGGCCGCTGTGGGAAAACCCTGACAAATCATAGACAAAAATAAAAATACTCAAAGATTTTACTTTTGTTAAGTGCCGCAACAACTGGCAAAATATTGTTGATGTCCTGTGCGAATACATGTGAGCGCAAGGCCGCAACTTTGTGACGGGCTTGTTTGCATTTGCATTTCATTAAAACACACGGACAGGTAAACAAGCCGACCCTCTCCATCAGGCCAGAGGCCACTCACTCACCTGGCGGCAAGGGTGATGACTACCTCCAAGTAGCTAACAGACTTGATGGCTGCCATTCAGAATGATGACGATGACGACGACTGCCAAATGACAAGGGGATGGTATACGGTTATTTTTATATCCCTGCAGAGCGGGATTAGTTCGGTTTTGTTGCAAAACATGTTACGCGCGGAATTAACCAACTAATCAGGATATTAACATATATGTATATATGAAAGTTTCGGCCGAATCGGACTACAAAATCCCTGGTGCACCTCGGTCAATATAAAAATTTATCTTATAGCACCACGCTTTGAATTCTTTTAATCATAAAATATAGTCCAATGCGCATTCCGAAATGCTTACATGTACGCATAGATGCAATTGTGCACAACAAAGTAACTCATGTCCGACAAACTGCACAAGTTGAGCAATGGCAAGGATGTTGCTTCCATTATTGGAAATTGAATGTTGAATTACTTTTATATTTGTTGTCCGATATTCATGAAATGTTAAGGTCATAACTACGACGTTAAAATGTGTGTGTATACAGTTCAGAAGATAGCTTTCAAAATGAGGGAAGGGAATAGGGGGAGGTTTTCCAATAATTGAAAAATTCAAATTCTTTGTTCACAAGAGCTTACATTCTTAATTGGTTGCATCTGGATTTTACAGTTATTGAAATTTGCCTCAAAAACCAAGTCTCGGTAAAATTGACACAATAAAATGAAAGAGTATAGGGAGGAATAATGGAGAATATATGTTTTATGAAATGTTCTCATTTTTACTTAAGAAAACTATTCCATTTTCCAGGCATACTTTGAAAGACAATTGTTTAATTGTAAAACAAAATTGCATCTTAAGTGGAAAAATGTTAAAAATGATAAAAGAAAACTTCCTCTGCCTTACCCATCGACCGCACTGAAATGTTCACGTATTTTCCTATTGAATTACTTTGTCTAAAAAACAAATAATAAAAACAATAATTTAAAGAAGACATTTCTAAAACCGTAAGAAATCAATTTAAAAGCTTTTTTATTCGGAATTTGATACAGATGTTTCAATATTTTTAATATGTCACAAAAGGTTCGGATTGCATCAGTTGTCATAGAAACAATCATTTGGCGTTTCACAAACCAAACAGAATGCTAGATATATAACTCTTTTTAAATGCATTTAAGACGATTCACTTTACACTCTGAATTTTTTGAAAATGGATAAAAAGAGTATATTGTTTTCGTACACATATGTGTAACAGGTAGGAGGAAGCAACTCCGATGCATAAAGTATACATATTCTTCGCTAAGTTGATCGAGCCATGTTTGCCCGACCGTCTGTGTGGAAGATCTCGGGAACCAAAAAAAAGTCTCAATAACCTTATTTAAATTATTTATGGTGTGGAAGCATATCCGGTCGTCGTCTACAAAGTCACAAATTTTAGATTTGCTAATTTTTAAAAAATTTTTTTACTGCAACTGCATATATGAGTGCATGTGTGCGTGTGTGAGTGTGTAAACGTGACTTGCCTGAGGCGGTTTTCAGATTGCGCATACGCCGCGTAGAGCGAGTGAGTCAAGTGAATGCCTCAATTAGTTTATGTTACGCCCGAATAAACACACGTTAAAAGTGCGTGTAAACAGAGCCGCAAAATAATAACGCCATGTACCATGGGCAAGCAATAAAATAACTGGTCAAATTAGGTGACCAGCCTTCTACGCCCATAGCGCCTACCCCCCTAACCCAGCCCCTGGCCGCAAACAAACAAAACTGTCACTTGTCCCAGGCGCCTCTGTGCCACTGGCAGTAGCAGAGGCTCTGTCAAAGGTAAAGGCAATAGCAGAGGCAGAGGCAGCGCAGAGTTGCGCCCCAGGCCACTGGTCAGATAATTTCCTTTGTTCTGTATGGCAAATGTTTTTATTTCTCTTTTTTGTTTATGTTTTCTTTTCTTTTTTTTTTTACTTATTTCGTTGTGTGGGGTGCGCGCGCGTTCTTGTCAGCTATTTTTCCGCTTATTTTATCACGTTTTGTTGCCAGTTTATTTTTTTCTTTGTGTTCACTTGTGAGTGTGCCGCAACTTCAGGCTCAGACAGGTAGCAGTATGCAAATCAAACAAAGCACCGAGTGCCACCCCAAAGGACAGGAAGCGACGTTGACAGCAGCGGAAGGAGGCAGCTAAGGAACGCGAGCGCCCATCGATATGGATTTCACGTGGCTGAGCTGGATAACGGGTGTGTGAAGGGGGCCATAAAAAGACGCTGATCTAATGCAATCACCTCAAATTGTGATTTTGGAAAGCGGCGTTTTACTTTATGGCATTTTCAAAAGTTGTATTTGATTTTACATTAGTTTATTTTATTCACATTTAAGTTTGTTTAACTATGAGCTTATTTAATGTAATATAATAATATCAAATTGAATATTTTGTACGTTTTTATTGTGACTGTGATGTCTATCATTTATTTATTTATTAACTGTTTATTTATTGAAATTTTAATTATTTTTGTTTTTGATACTTATATTACTTTTTTATGTACATATGTTCAGAGTCTGTGTGTTAACAGAAATGTACAGCAATTTTTTGCTTTATTGCTCGAATTTTATTTATAAACAAACTTTGTGATAGTCAAATATACTTCAAAGCCTTCAATTTTGATTTTCTTACATATTTGTTGTTTATTCTTTTATTTTTTTTTTTTTTAATTCACTAAAATCTCTTCTATGTCTGGGATTCTCTCCTAAGCAAGCAATAATTTGTTTTCCATTTTTCGTAATTTTTCGTTTTGATTTTCAATCAAATCAACAAATAAATAGTCTGTCATAATAAAGCTGATTAGATCGTTTGTGGCTAAATGCGGGAACCAACCATTTTATTTACTTTGCACGGAATGTTAAAAACAACGCGTATATTATGTCCGCCTCGTGTTTTGGCTTGTCGTCGCAGAAACATGCGCGTCGCGTGTGCTCTCGACTCAACGTCCGCGGTTCGACTGAGAAACAGAAGGCAGACAGGCAGACACATACACATGCAAACGCACACACTTAGCTGTCAGAGGCTGTGCCGAGTGATGTTAGCTGAGTGTGCAGAGTTAACAGACGCTTAACAGTTGTTTAACAGCCACAGCAACAGCTGGGCTGGTGATTCATTCATAATTATTTTGAGTGAAATTCAGTTGTTGGGGTCAGAATCTGACGCTGCGAATCAATTTACTTAAGCAAAAATGTGTCGCTGGGGAGCAACTGGCCAGCGCGTGTCCTAGACGTATATATTAGGCAGACAATTCCGGACATGCCTGTGGCAATGTATATGCAAAGGGGCCCATAACCCGTCGTGAAAATAAATGTTGACCTTTTTGGTAAAAATATAAAAAATAACATGCAAAGAAATAAATGCGCGCGAAATGTCAAAATCACTGTCACGTGGCAGGAGAAATGAAAGGAACCCAGCCAAAAAAAGGGAAGAAAGCATAGAAGAGAAAGATGACAACGCATAAGCAGAACATAAGCAAATGCCAATGCCAATGCCAAGGCAATCAAGAAAATTTGCTCCAACAAATGGCAAGGCAAAAAAAAGAGAGCGAAAATACATGAAAGTCAAGTGTTTACACGGACTGGCGCTGCTGCTGCTGCTGATGATGATGCTGGCGTTGCTGTAGCTACACCACACAATCACACACACCACCATCAACACACACACACACACACACAAGCACACACTTACAGTCACATACACACATGAGCTGCTTTGGGGCGGCCCAAAACAAACCGCAAGTATGCTAGCACTCTCATATTCCTGTGGGTTCCCTTACAGCTTTCCCCATTTTAAATTGCAACGCGGGGCTGCTTTTGGCTGCACAACAAAATGTTGCACTTGTAATCAAGGCTGGGTTGATTTGGATTAGGGTTAGGTTCATAGTAAAAATAAATGGATATTCCGGGCTCGAACCGAGTTTGAACCGAAAACGAAGAGCAGCTAAACTCAAATGCGAATCAAGCCATTTTGTGTTTGAAAATAAATTAAGCTTGGACTATTTTGAGAAGAACGGTCAATTATAAATTCAGATTAAATTGTCTCATTCAAATAGATGACGAGCCTTGAGGCTTACACGTAAGGGCAACTTCATGAATGTAGAAAAGCAGGCTCACGAACCGAAGATAGGGAGCTCGAGCCGTAAGCTTACTATCCGAAAATGTATTTTCGAGCCTGTAGCCCTGCTTATTATTGCAGCCACTGAAATCGGGCAAGCTCCGGCTGCTGGCTTTATCATGTGGTCACAGTGTGTGTTGTGCTGACAATTTTTTGCATACCAACAAAAGTTATAACCCAAAGCTGGATTTATTGTGCTTAGATCTTAGGCAAACAAGTCCCAAATTAGACCACAGCCAGGGCACATGCACTGCACCAGCTGTTGGTCCTCCTTCGCCTCCCCCATCTGACGACTGGCGACTGCCTGTCTGGCTCCAGCTGTGCACTGCAGGCGGCCAGGGTTGGTAGAGGGCAGCAGAGGGATTTGTGTGCTGTGGGTTTATTAAACCAAATTGCACTCCCCCTCCCGCCAACACACTGTGTTATCACTGTTATGCCTTGAATGCAACTTTTTGCTTTAACATGTCAAATTGTCGCCTCAATGCTCAGAATTCGGATGGTAGATAGTTTCTAAAAGTAGAAAACATATTACTAGCAACTATATAACACACACACACACGAGAAAAAATACAAGTTTTCAATAGTTGACTTAGTAAATAAATAAATTTCATTCCTTGAAATCAATCATATGACCGTACGTAGTAAGTAATCACAAAAAATGGTACAGAGTATTCATTAGTCAGGCATGCCAGGAAGTGCTGCATTTTAATCCAGTAAAAAGTTTTTCAAATTAAACATGTTCCAGATCAATATCAGCATGCCCTTCCGTCTGTTTAATAAACTCAATTTAAATTAAATTAAAAAGTTGAACTTACGTTCAAACTGAGACAATTAATTCGAAATATTAAAATACCTATTAATGAGCAGTAGGTGGCATTTTCCCACAGTTAATACCATAAATTTGCCCGCTGAGCAGAAGCGGCCATTTCTGTCGGTCTCTCCATGCGTTCCGTAACATTTTTTACTTAATCAAACCGAATCGTATCGCAAATTCACAATTTCATTGATGCTTTTCTGAACGCCAGCACGTCCCGCTGACTTTTATGGAACTAACCTCTTAATCACCAGATCATATCGCCTCGATAAAAGCACAACAAGAACAACTTCATCAGTGTGTGTGTTCCGTATTCTGGCCATGGATGTTTGCTGGGGTATCTCTTTGAACCGTGTCTGCAGGCTGCCGACTGCCTATTGGTGTAGTATTGACTCGCTGATTATTTTTATTTGGTTCTCGCAAACGTTTCGATTGAGACATAAAACTATGCCGATGCCCTGCCTGCGGGGTAAATATAAACATTTATATACGATTAAGTGTGCTGTTTATTTTGATGTTTGGTTTAGTGCTTCCGTTCCTGCAGCTTCAACGGATTCTATGCCTACGTCTGTGCTGTAGTGGGCTGTGCCCCATTAGATATTGAGTATACGCCGCATTAAATCGTGCAGAATGAGATAGACAAACAGAGATGAGAGTTGAGCAAGAAAAAAAACTCTCGGCAGATTAATGTCGGCGCGCTCAGAGTATACTCATTCTGAAATTGAATTCAACCGATGTTCGGAGACACGGTAAATCAATAAAAAACTAATCGAAAAATCAAAAGCAAACATTGGGCATTTGTTGTACACCAAATTGATTGTCAGCAGATTATCTATGAATGTGTGTGTGTGTAGAAGATTAAAATGTGCTTGTGGCCAAGAAAACAAAAATATATCAAAAAAGCCAAATTAACGCATCAGCATCAACCAAATTTAATTTCATTGCAAATCCAAACCAATTTAATTGAAAGCATAATATGCCAATGTTGTTTGCCACTCAATTATACCCTGTAGGCACTATAAAAAGGCACAATAAAAAGGCTTGCTTGAAACATGCAGCCATTCGGAAGCCATTTATTTACTTATTCATTTTTATTTAAAATATACTGGTAGTATATATATATATATGATATAATATACATAATGGTAGCCATTTATTAAAGCATGATACACCAGTTTATTTGATCATTTTCTGATTTTTATGGTACATAAATATATCCAAATGTACCGCAATTGATTTACAAAACAGGGTGATCTACGGTTTAAATTGTAAAAATGAAGTATTCTTTCTAAAAAAGTGCTAGGACGCAATATCCCCGGTTATAAGCGACACCTACATGACAACATTTTCTCTCTCTCATGGAAAACTATTGAAAGAGGTGTATATGAAAATACAAAGCTAAGCACATTTTCTGTATTTGATCATATAGTAATAAAGTCTAGGGTATCTGCTCGTAGAGTCCTTTTAAATTGTTGTCTATTTTGGTTTTTTATTTTAACCATCCACTGCGACAATTTCGGTTATTTTACTTTTTTTTTTAATTTATGCAAATGCAACGCAGAGCATTCACCCACAGAGAAAGAGAGACCCAGAGAGGGAGGTAGAAAGAGAGAGCGTGAGGAACTCAAGCCACAGGCTTTAATGCTCATTAGGGTGTTGCCCAAACCCACTAAGTATATTCAAGGGCAGAATATTCCGCAGTTGGAGTGCTGTGGAGCATGTGTATTTACAATTGCTTATGTATAAAAACAAGAGCTCAGTCCGCTAAAATTACATTTATATACAGTTTATTTCGAGTGGAAAACCCGCAAGCTCGCAGACCCGAGTCTCCAACTTCACGAATAAAGCCAGTTGCCATTTAAAATGCAAAATGTCTGGTCTTGGCGCTTAAAGCCGACGAAATGCATGCAATTAATTTGCACTTACGACTCGGCATCTCGACTAACAACTGCTGTTGCATTGCGCGCTTTTCTTGGTTTGTGGATATTACGATATTTTAATGACGATGCAATCAAAGAAGAATTACAACCGTCTTTGCTGCTAAACAGTTTAAGTCGTTTTCTTTATCACTTTAAAAAGGGAACCTTAAGTTTAAAAATGTTTCCTTTAAGTTACACATTTCACAATTTAAATAACTGATTATCAGCGAATTTTAACACATACTTTTATGCTCTATAAGATTTTTTAATGTTTAACGGCCGTCTAATTCAAAAAATAAACAGCTAAAATATCTTTTCGCTTGGTAGCACTGGTCAGGCTAAACTATCGATATGGTCAACCTAACGATTTCTTTGGTAAAGTATGGCTCATTGGCTTACTGCCATCAGTGCTGCCTTCTTTTCTGATGTATCTGTTCTCTTTATAAATTCCCAAGTATTTTATGCTCTCTTTATAAGAATAAGAGCATAATGGTGATACCACTTTGACTTCTAACTATCTCCCACACCCACAAAAAATCACACTTCTTATTAGTTCTTGAATGCATGGAGAGCATGGCCAAGACATGGACCTTGGCGCTGACCAACCGCCAGAAAAAGATCAATTGGCGTTCAAACATTTTAAAAATCGATTGGTTAAAAAAAGTGGTTGACCAAAAGACGATTCGTTTGTAAATTCAACATTTTTTGATGATTTTTTGGAATATCTCGGCCAATTAATGTCAGAGTTTGGAATTTTATACCATTTTGGACTCGTAATGAGCAGTACTTTCGCTTGGTATCAAAAATATGAAAATCTAAATTTTGACCAAAATCAACAAAATGGCAAGGGGTTACATCACGTTTTTTCTCAAATTCGGGGTCGATTCGAAAATCAAAACTTTTTTGATGATTTTTGTTGATTAACTCGGGTAAATACTATCAGATTTTGAAATGTTATACCTTTTTGAATTCGTAGGGATCATTACTATCAATTGGCATTCAAACATTTTAAAAATCGATTGGTTAAAAAAAGTGGTTGACCAAAAGACGATTCGTTTGTAAAGTCAACATTTTTTGATGATTGTTTGCAATATCTCGGCT